CCGAGGCTCTCTTTCTCTCCCCCGCAGTTTCCCCCTCCCTTCCACACGCCTTCGGCGCTTTCCAGAGACTCTTTCTATTTCCGTCGCCTCCTGAAACACACGGTGCCCTCGAAGCCGTCCCAGGTACCCCCACACGCCCTCTCTCCCTACCTTGCTTTTCGCCGCTGAAGGGTCACCCTCAGCTCCGGGTCGTCCTGAAGGTCCTAATCTTCTCAGGTACTGGTGCACCCAAAAGCCAGAAAAAGAAACCTCTTCTCTTTTTTTCCTGGACTACAATTCCCAGAGTCCCCCATCACATATGATGTGCCCGAAAGAGACCCCCCCCCTCACGCCAGACCAGATGTGCCTGAAAGACGCTTCCAAAAGGTTTAGGCCTGAAACTCTTAAGCATACTCCATCATCCTGTGAATGCCCAGCCAGAATTCTCTGCAATCCCCCAGGTAGCACCATGGACATCTTTCTTCCCAGCCTTGTCACTGGAACCTCTCCTTGCCAGGCAGGTTCCATTGTGTTTTGTTGTCCTCAACACTGTGATCCTGGGCATTTCTCCTGAGGTTTAATAGCGATAGACTTTACATAGCTGTCCTTGACCTTCATTTGGTCCTCAAGCAAGCCAGGAGAATGACTCCCCCTAACCACATTGTCCTTTGTGTCTTACTTCATTGTATACTTATGGGGAGATACCTGGGGCCTCACACCTGTATTATTTTATAGACATTATTCTAATAGACTGCTTCTAACTTTAGTCTGTCACCAACATAATGGCATCACTAATCCATATCCCCCCAAATCCCCCAAAATCTCCAGATTTCCAGTACTAGAATACTTTACAACCCTGGATTCCTGTGTGCCATCATCAGACATTTTGCATACATATAAGATCCTTCACAGTAAGGGACAGTGGATTATCTGGAAGAATGCATGCCTTTGTGCAATGTTAAGAGGCAAAGGCTCCAATGGAGCCTTTGGAGTCCTAACAAATGAGCCAATTTTGCCTCAAATGCTCACATGTGCCCTTCCCCAGATGTTGTGTAATTCCAGTTCCCATCAACCATGCCCAGCATAGCGAATAGTGAAGGGAGAACCAATCTAGTAATATCTGGAGGGTCACAGGTGCCCACCCATATATCACATGCTCCCTTTTACTCATGTGTTTGCTCTTTTCTGGGTGATGGTTTTCACATTCACCTTTATTTTATCAGTCCCCTCAACGTGTTTGCTCTTTTCTGGGTGATGGTTTTCGCATTGACCTTTATTTTATTAGTCAACAGGGAATGGTAAGAAGAGAATGGTCTTTTCCTGCTGGCTGTGTTTTCAGAATCTCTGAACCACTAAGCAGGTATAACTGGAGGTGTCTCTTGTAGAGCTGAAGAAATAATTTGGGAACCCCAGGGATTAGGGAAAGAGGACTTGTTTGATTTATCACAAAAGGCCTATTTTTACTGAGCTCTCTTCCAGTAAGTGCTAGATCTGACTTTCTGGCTGTTCTGTGATGCAGTATAAATACATAACTACTCAGCAGCTTCTCTTAAGACTTCCAGTTTTGATGTGGTTGAAAAGTTAACTACACAAATAGCTTATGACCAGGATATCTGAAAGATCATATTGGGTGAAATTAAACTGTGTAGCTACACACAAGGTGTAGCTTTTGGAGTCAAACTGAACCATAGAATCATAAAATAATTGGAAAGTTGGAAAGGGCCTATAAAGGCCATAAAGTTGACCCACCCTGCTCAATGCAGGAGTACAAATCAAAGCATTGCCTTAAGTTGAAAAATATCCATAGATACTATATGTTGCATGCTGAATTGTACACGTTGGTATGCAACAGATAATGTCTATGAAGATTTATTTAACTTATGACAATTTGCTTCTAAACGTTATGCTATTTGCATTATACCAGCATCACTAGGCAAGAGGATTTGAGATGTTACCTTGTATGAGTCTGCCTGAGTTTTAAGATCTTTTAGAGGCAGACCACTTTCTTGTTCCTCTGTCTTCAGAGGAAGATGCAAAAGATGACTTTCTTGGTAATCACTTTCAGTCTCTGAAACTCTTTGTCAAGGGATGCTCAGCTGGTTCCCACTAATATTCCTTGAGCTAAATGGTTGCTGAAGTGCTTGCTGCTGTATTCAGATGACAATTATAGTTCAGTGGTGGTACATGTGTCTTGTGTACCATGTCAGACAGCAGCAACAAGGCTGAACATATCCCCTTGCGATGTGTAGGAGAGTTGGAGACACACATCCATTGTGTTGACCTTTCTCTGCTCAGTTCTATATTCAGTAGAAATTCTCTGCTAATGTTTCCCAGTGGACAAGGGCATAGAAATATGCCTGACTAACTGCACAGAGAGGCTTGAATGATGCTCAGAGCTTTTGCCTTCTCCATTTATTTCAACATGCCTTCTTGGCTACCACTAATGGTGCTTTAAAAGATGTAGTTAATTATTCCATTCATTGCCAAACAAGGAAATACTACATTTCCCAAAATGAGAATAGTGCCAGATGTATGTTCTCTCCTGTTCAAATAATGTACTGGCTTTTAACCAGTTGATTTGAGCTGGTGCCATTTGGGTGTTGTGGCCTGTGCCATAGTTTGTTCAAATTAAGTGTAGAAAGGATTTGTTGAACAAATAGGCCACCTTTTTAGCTATGCAGGCAAGAAAGTTGATTGCCTATTCATTTTCTAGAAAGTGTGGTTGTGATCCATCAGCATTTTGTGTCACTTGTGCCCTTGGTGTACTTGCCCAGGAATAAATGTGCTACGGCAGCACCTTTCTTGGCATGAAAATCCTGCAAGAAGTCAAAGCAAAGATGAGTTGTCAGGGTAATGCGAGAAGTTTGTTGGCTTGTTTCGTAATCATGAGCAACCTCCTGTTGAAAATGCATTTAAAAAGTAAGCAAGGAATTGTAACTAGAGGCTACATCTATCTGTCTTCTATGGAAGGAGGCTAAGAAAAAAGAACATCAAGCTATGAGGGAATCTCAGTCCAAAAAAGGTTAAATGACAAGGTATATGTGGAATATGGTTTTGTGATTGTTCGGTGCTCATCTATTGCTCTGTTGTAGAACAGAGTGTGTGTGAAATTCTTTGTGTGCTTTAATAAGGAACTGATGCCTGGAACAACTTTACTTCATCACTGCTGTTTGTGGTTCAATTACTAGGAAGTATTCCAGGCTCACTGCTGATTAGATATAACCTTCATGTGCAAAGGGAAGAAATATCCACATTTTAGATAAATGAATAAATATGCGTAAATTTGCTTTGCATAATTCTGTGTTAAATGGCATGAAATGTAGGTTTGTGGATAATATATGGTGGAGATAGGTGGGAGGGAGACAGTCTGTCTGGATGTCAAAGCCCTTTCTATCCTTGCTTTCTGACAGACATGCTCACATGTTTCCACAATTTTCTGTCTTGCAACTATAAGGGCTAGAAAGTTGCTTTAAAAAAAATAAAAGTGAGATTCTTAGGATACTGAGGGGTTAGCTAGATGGGCTAAATGGCCTGGTCTGGATCCAGGTGCACAGGGTTGCTTACAGTCATGTAGAGTGTGGTATGCCATTTGGTGTGATGCAATATATTCACATGGCATATGCACCTTAAGTGATCCTATTTGGGCCACCTGCATTTAAAAGGAAAGGGAAAGGGGGAAAAACAGCAATAACAACAAAAGGCCACTCCTCAACCCTTCCTTTTTCCTATTCCTTCAGGAAGAAGTTTTTAATTTTCTAAAAAGCACATGACACCAGCTCTATCCTAACTAGGCTTAACAAAGAAAAACAAAAAGAAACTTTGTTTCTTCCATCTTTCTATCAATGAGAGAAGTTTTTCATTTGTCAATATTATTAAGTGGCTAAGCTGTATGCTCAAGCTACTTTAAGATATTGGGAAATTGAAAGCAGATGGGAAATTGAAAGCAGTAAGCCATCTGATTTGTTTAATCCCAACAATCATACCTGCTGGAACTGAACCAAAATGGGATTTATCTTACCTGCACCAAAAAAAGAGTAGCCTCTGACAGGGGCTACATTGCAGGTAGAATCACTCTAGAAATGGAATGGTTCATGCTGACACTTATGTTGTGTGGTTACTGGGGAAAGGAGTCAATCCAACAACAGGTCAAATCTCCATGTAGTCACACCTTTAGTTGTCTTCCAGATTTAACATTCAGCACTTACAAATTAAGCTTCTTCAAAACATAAATGCATATTTGAAACAGGGAAATCTCTGTTAATCAGAAATGACAACATGACCAAACATTACTCCATGACAGTTGTAAAAACAATAATAAAACCCCCTATGCCTTGAGGGCCAGTTCTTGCTGAAGCTATGTTATTGTTGAAGTCCACTCATCTTCATCTTTATGGTGATTTATAATAGCATCTATAATAATCATCTATTTAACATCCTATCCATGGATATTCCATTACTTGAATGTCCTTTGATTCTTGGTGACTTTCAGAGTAATAGTACTATAATTTGTCAATCATCCAATCTTTTTCTGATGTTCAGCATTGAAGATGATGAATGATTCTCTTCATTACAATGATTACAGATTCATTGCCATCATTTTTTTTAAAGATTTAGGCTACTATCCAATAACCACAAGCCTAGGAGTAAGCCCCA